TCTAAAGAGGAAGGGGTGGGCTCTTAATCAGGAAGCAGTGTACCCTTAACAGGAAGGGTTGGTAAATTTAGATTAGGGGGGTGCTCAGGTATAGTCATGCCTAGAGCAGCACAAAATTAAAATACACCACTGCGTGAGTTTTTGAGTATGTGTGTGCGTCTGTGAGTGTATGTGTGTGTCTGAGTGTGTGTGTGCACATGTTTATATATGCAAACGAGTGTTTTGGGTTTTTGTTTTTTTTGGTGGGGGGATCTTGGGTGAGTTCCCACACTTTTTTCCCCAGGACTTGACCCCTGGTTTAATCCACCATTAAGGTGGCTTACCCTCCCTTAGCCCCCTTAGAAATTGTTCAAACTCACCTTATTTCCAGCACCATGCGGGTCTGTCGACGCTGGCCTTGTCCTCGATCCGCCTTCTTGGTGACATTATCAGATTTTCCGATTTTTAGGCAATCCATTGCTTTTTTTTTGGCGAGATGGAGGCGGGGCCAAACACAGTTTTGGCCAATTAGCACCTCCTTATAGAGATGCATTGAATCAATGCATCTCTATGAGGAAAATTCAGCTTTTCCATGCAGAGCATGGAGATGCTGAACTACAGTGCTGCCTTCTGTACAGCACTGCCCCAGGAAGCACCTCCAGTGGCCATATGAGGAGTGGCTACTTGGAGGTGTCCCTATGGGCAATGTAAACACTGTCTTTTCTCTGAACAGGCAGTGTTTGCATGAATATGCCTGAAGGCAATGATTATACTCACTAGAACCACTACATTAAGCTGTAGTTGCTCTGGTGACTATATTGTCCTTTTAAGTCTGGCCACTCTAAGTTCAAGTAATGTGTTTTCCCTTGTTCTTCTTTCTGCTCATGTGAGTTCAGCTTGGTAGGGTACTTATACCAAAATATTTTCTATTAATGTATATACATATTTTTTTTAAATATTATTGAGAATTAGACTTGTGCTTGGATTTTGTACCTCCTACGTGATTTATGTATTGAACTGCTGATATGTTGTCCATCTTGAGAAGAATACAACAATGGGATATTTGTTTTGCAAAGCTGTGTAGAGCAAAACATCCTGCCATGAGTTCCAGGCAGTTTATATGCATACTCATCTCCTCTAGAGAACATTTGCCTCCCGTGGAATTGCCTCCACAACGGGCTCCCCAGCCAACTCGACGTCAGATTCTATAATCTGATCTGGGAATGAAGTTAAAATGGCTTTCTCGTTCCAAATTTGAACGTGATCTAACCACTAGAATGGTTCTGTTCTTGTCTCTGGAGTCAAAGTGATCTTGTCTTAATAAAGCAGACTGTTGCGTAGATGTTCTCGTTTTAATCTTTGAAGAGCCCGATAATGTAGGGGGCCCAGAAAAAGCACTTGAAGCGAGGCAGATAAAAGGGCTACAATCTGTGCCAGAGATCTGATGGAAATTAATTATTTGTAAGTACTGACCTGTTCTCTTTCCGAATCGTTTTCCGTGATGGAAGACTGAGGGTGGCTAAATTGGAATTCACTAGAAATCCTCAAAATTCTATCTCTTGAGATGGCGTTAAAATTGATTTCTTGTAATTTATTACAAAGCCAAGGCTTGTTAACAGATTCAATGTCCATTGAGAATGTAGTTGAAGAGTTTGCACACTATGTGACATAATCAATTTATCTAAATAGATTATCATTCTCACTCCCTTGCTTCAAAGCAGGGATACTACTGGTTTGAGCAATTTGGGGAGAGACCAAGGTGCAGAGGATAAACCAAATGGCAATGATTTGAATTGCCATTTCTTCCCTTCCCATATGAATTCTACATAATTGAATGGTGAATAGGTACAAATCTATTGTGATCAACAAGTCGTTGGGTATCAGTAGGTCTTTGAGACTTAATAAGTTCCCTCCATTTTGAAATGGTGGTATCTGACAAAATTGTTTAAATATTTGTATATACGATATATATATATATATATATATATACACACACGATTGGTCTGTGACCAGTATCTTTCTTTTTCACCAAGAATAACTTGCTTATGAAGTCTGGACCACTCATTGGCACCTGCATGATGGCATTTTTTGAGCATAAATTCAATATTTCTTGATGGATCAGAGCTTGGTCTTGGATCGAAAATGATATCTGGATAGGTACTTTTCTTTGAACGGGATACAATATAAAATCAATTTTGTATCCCAGAACAGTGTCTAATATCCAAGAATAGTTTGTAATCTGACTCCAAACATGGAAATAACGAGTGAGTCTTCTAGGGAAGAAAGGGGAATTTTCATACATACAAGATGAAGATCTGAAGACATTCCCCGATGGCCTCTTTATCTCCAAGGTCTGCCACATAGTGGGAAGAATGGAGTTGTTTGTTGGGTGTCAAATGAGGGCCTGGTGGGCTGGAAGATGTTCCTTGGAACCTGTCTATGCTGAAAGGAGCAGATGGAATACTTTCCTCAGAGATGACTGAGCCTTATCAAGGGAGCTAAATAAATGGACATATTTATTAATGTCTTTAATAAAGGATTCTCCGAATAGGAGACCTTCAGCAGTTGGTCCAGGTTCAGAAGTGGCTAGATTTGACAACGTAGGGTAAATTTCCATTAAAATAGACCTGTGGTGTTTGTTGGTCAGAGCTGTGTTAGCATTCTCCAAAAAACATACAATGCAACCTCTCAAAATATCAATGCTGGGAGGAATTCCGGAAGCTGCAGCTTGTTCTAAAGTCTCACACATTTTTGCCACAGGACCAGATATGTCCATTAATTTATATTGACAAGATTTTAGTGAGCTGTCAAGTCCTTTACTTGGGTTCTTCCCTTATTTTGTTAAAAATTGCACAAAAGTGGGATCTAGGGGTGAGGGGTCTGTGCAACTTTCTTAGACAAAGTCAGTCTAGGGCATTCAGCTCTTAGCTTATTTCTAGCCACTTGGTCAAGGGGTTTCCTCAAACGGCATTCAAGATATTTGTCTACATGAGCCATAGGGACCCAATCGAGTGATCTAGGGTGCTTAAGATGGTCTGGGTCAAATAATGGTTTCCCATTAACATCCATTATAATATTCTCTTCATCAGATTTAGATAGAAGCTCAGGTGCCTCTGAAACAGATGAATGAGCTTGAAGACGAGTCATCATTCGAGGAGGTTTTATAGGAGTCAGGTTTGCTCCTGTGAGTTGCCTTCCGAGCTTGTCTGTATTTTGATTGATTGATCCTCTTCAGTTTTGCGTGACACACGCATTTTGTTTTGGTCTTGGTTCTTCCCCACCTTATGTTTTGGTCTTGGTTCTTCCCCACCTGGGTCTTGGTCCTTCCCACCTTAAGCAGTGTTTGCATTTCTGGGTGGCCTTCCCAGACCTCCTAAATCCCTGAGCTAAATTTCGTTCTGACTCCACAGATGTCCTGGGGTATTAATTAAGTGAGTCTTATCACTAGGTTTTGTATTGCTAATGGCCTGAGCCACAAACTTTGCAATTGCTTCTTGCTTGGAAGACATTGCAGTATAAATTGCAGATTAAACTGATTTGTGAACGGATAAGTCTACAATATTTTGTAAAGAATCGTCAGTGAGAATTTCACAGTCATGAGTAGCACCAGGTTTTGGTGACTGAAAAGGAGTTTGTCTAATTTGTTTAGAATTCATAGTTCAATATTGCAACAAATTGTAATTTGTAATTACTATTTGTAAATATTAAAATAATGTTGCAAAACATTAGGTAAAATCCTGATAAGAAAGTCAAATAATTTCAAAGTTATAATAATTACCAACAAAGAGCAACAAAGTTGTGGAGAAATGCTGTGCTGAGGTAAAGTGGGCAGGAAAGTTAGCTGAGAACCAACTAACTGGAAGTCCCGCCTATAATATCATCAATCTATGAGTGACTAACTGAAATCCGCATGCAGTGATTTGCATGAAAAAAATGCTGAATTAAACTGAACAGTGAAATACACGTTCATACAAAAAAACAACGAACGCGAGTACAATAAACGAATATAAAAAACCGAATGGCTGCAATTCACGAGAAATTTACCAAAAGCGAGTCATTCAAAATTACTGAATAGTCACAATTAGTATGAAAACTACCGAACGCGGACAAACCGCGCACTCAGTTTAGATGAAAAGGCACGAATGCCAGTGTATATAAACCAAATAAATATATTTAAACAAAAAAATAAGAAAAATATATAAAATTTCTTCAGAAAACATACAACATAAATGAATATATGTGTGTGTGTGTGTGTGTGTGTGTGTGTGTGTGTGTGTGTGTGTGTGTGTGTGTGTGTGTGTGTGTGTGTGTGTGTGTGTGTGTGTGTGTGTGTGTGTGTGTGTGTGTGTGTGTGTGTGTGTGTGTGTGTGTGTGTGTGTGTGTATATATGTATATTTAACCAAACTAGAAGGTATTTATATAGAAAACAGTCTTATCTCTACTGGAGCAGCAAAGAAAGAGGAAGAATATTGGGGATTATCCACTATGAAGACTATGTCGGATGCTGATTGGCTACCTCAGTTACTCTGTTTTTTTTTCTTTTAATCACTAAACTTTATTGAAAAAATGTCTTTGTTGCTGGAGTTAAGTAAAGAAAGTTAATGCATAATACGAGCCTCCTGTCTTGCTATAAAATCATAATATATCACAATTGCGCTTTCAAATAATAGACCATATACCACCACTTAGGAGAGGGGGCAATCGCCAGGGCTTACTCAAAAAGAGTAAGAGTTAGACACTTTATAACCCAAGGGACTCAATAGGGAATTTTCTCTCACCTCCATAACATTTGTAATGTTATATGAATATATTTTTTGTAGGCATATTCAAATTGATTTATTTTTCCTTTTCATTTTTTAGTGTGTTTGACTGAGAAGTCTCACCCCTTTTTGTGTCCACCAGGATCGTGACGGCTTCACATAGGGAGAATTTGACTCATCAGAAAACACTGCATTTGTTCTCACATATTTTCCATATATTGTACATGATTATTTTTTCAATGACAAATGTATTGATTCTGTATATATATTGTGATGTTTTGCTGAGGTTGTAGAAGTATGTGTGTGCAGTGTTTTAGTTTGAAATTACTGCACATACTGAGTTATTGGCACTTGTGTGCCGGGGGCCAGTTGCAACCCCAGTACATGTGACATTGGAGTTCTGGGCTGCCTAACGTTAATTCTGTGCATATTTTACAACTGTCATCAGATTGCACTGCACACTTTTGACAACCATAGGCAGAGTATCTACATAGGGAAATAACTGTCCCCTCCCTCCCGGTGGGCACTGCCTCACGTGGTTCAAAAAGTGGGAGAACTCCTTCCCACTCTCCCCTCCCTCACCTCCTTGGCCTGGAGGGCACAGGCCAAGAATTGAGCCAGAGAATTGGTCCAATGACAGGCTTCTCTATGACAAGCCTGTGATTGGACCGCGGGAGTGCCAACTCGTGTCATGGCTGGCGTGGGAGATCAGTGCCAGGAGTTTCAACTTGCGCTGGATTTAGCTAATTTAAAACCTTTTTTTGCAAATTGCAGAAATTACAGAGAACAAGAACAGTCAGACAATTTTAGAAAAGCCAAAACAGTAAATGCAGTAAATACAGAAACTACAACAGGGCAAAGAGTAGTAACCAGAATTGTCTTAGAAAGCTCCAGGAGAATTGTAATTTGGTGTGTGTTAATAATGAAGCCAAAATGAGTGGGACTTGTGTTGTTTCATTTATGCAGATTGGCTTGGCATTCAATTAAAATTCAGGTCTTAAGACTTGGGAAAGAGTAAGTGTTCCGCATCACTATTGACGTATCAGTTATGCACAGCATCAATATGTACAGTAGATCAATGCCTATCAGATCCAGATAACATGACACAAGAAATACAAGTGATAAGTGAAGCTATTACTGGGTAGGCTACCAAAGAAGGCAGTCGTGTAGACTGTAATGGATGAACCAATTAAAATGTTCAAAATGCTAATACAATAAAATATAAAAACCTTACTATGCACTCTTCAACTAAGTGTGCCATAATTGATAAAACTTACTTCAAAATATCATTATTGCATTTAATGTAAGAGCTACTCCTAATTACTGAGGTGTGAGCCCCAACAAGCAATAATATTAGACTCTACATTTATTAGTTTGTAAGGTTGCCAAACTAAAATCCCAAGTATCTTGGAAATGCTTATATTAGCAGCCCAATGTACACTGATTTCCAACATGAGATAACTCAGACAGAAACCTCTTCACCAATCTGGCTAGAGGAAGGTTATTCCCTATATAGTTATTAATAATATTAATGCCTGACAGCACTAAGGTCCCTACTCATTTAACAATCTACTCTAGTCAAAAGTAATAAGTAAAGCAGAATGCACCTGAAATATTGCTGTTACGGGCATGTTGAGGACAAAGGCAATCTATGCTGCTGTTAAGAAAACAGGCAACAAGAAAGGTACAGGGTAGACTGTAACACCAGAAAGGGCAATATCAGCACAGGCAGTCAGTAACAGACTAGGATAAAGAAAAAGATTAAGATAGAGCTAATGACTTCGTCAGAATTGAGCAACAGTCACAAACTAGTGAGGTCCATCGTCCTTGAACAAGAGACAAACTGGGAACAAACAGACTGAAAGCAGTCACTGTTGAACACATGTATGCTGAGAAGTGCAGCGGAAGTGATGTCGAAAACCAAGGGATGCCAGGAGAACACCAGAAAAAGTCTTGCTATTCAATTTCCAGATTGAACATTTAAAACTGGAAGAATTAATTGGACCATTATGACTTGAAAATGACTGCTGAGTTGAAATACGTTGTGCCTTACTGGTTGTATGTACATACATGTTATTTTCATTTATTTTTTTAAAATTGGTTTTATTGGAAATTAGTTTGTCTCTCCATACTTATTTGTGAAGTTACTGCATTTATCCTGATTATGGAAGCAGAGAGATCAGGATGAGACAAAGATAACCAAACATCATATAATTCCAGCCAGAGCTTGCTAAATGAGGCTCTAGGAAATGTGAGTGGTTCTGTGCAATTTCTAGTTCACAATAGGAGGCCAGACAATATTACACTATGAGAGTGCTGTGTTTTATGTCTTTTCTACAGATTTATTGCTGCCTTTACTGTTTATAATCAGCCTTCAATTTAATTACTGCTAGCTTGACAAGTGCAAAAAGCACATTGATGGCCCCCAAGACTTTTGAGATAATATAATGTGCACAGACAAGTCAAAGCCTTTTGAGATATTATGTGGATAGACAAGTGAAAACCTTTTGAGATAATATTATGTGGACAGACTTGTTCCATTATGTCTGCAGTAGTGGAAACACATTTTATTATAAGATCATACTAACAATTGAATAAAATGGTAGCGGTGTGATGGTGTGAGCTTTGCTGCTTCAGGGCCAGGAAGACTTGCTCTTTCTCAGAAAATTCTGAAGGAGAATGTCCAGTCATTTGACATGTGCAATTCGTTTCTGGCCGAATATGTATTCGGACGAATTTCGGGCAATTCAGACATTCGGGTACTTCCGAATAGCCGAAGTGCCAAAATTACTGAGGTCCCGAAGTTACGAAATTACCGAATTTCCGAAGTGCTGAAGTACCGAAGTTCAGAAGCACAGTATTGCCTAAGTACTAATATACTTATCCAGTGGAAGAAGAAAAATGTTACACTGTATACAATTTTAAATAAAAAGTATACAAACGTAGCCAGGATTCAGCTGTAAGCATTTGCAACACTTACAACAATCAAGTAACACACATTCATATAAAAAAGTTACTTGGCCAGTCAATGTAATGACTGGAATGAATAAGTAGATAACTCCCTAATTCCCACGGTATTAGGGAGCTATCTACTAAAAGGCTGAAAGACCTAAATTGGTCTTTCAGCCAAATTTACTAATACTAAGTAAAGATCACTTAGTATTAGAAAATTATGCTCCTACTCGCTATACCACGAGTAGGGGTATGTCTATTAAACAGTGAACAACATGTCCCCCTACCCCTCCTAACCTGAAGGGGGGACTTATTGCCCCCCCCCCCGGCCCACACCAATGAGCGGTGGGTGGGGGCCCTAAAGTAAAGTAATGGAGGGGACCTATTGTCCTCCCCCCGTCCCCCACCGCTGAGCGGAAGGTGGGGGCCCTAAATCAGAATAAGGGGGGGACCTAATGTCCTCCCCCCTGGCCCCCACCCCTGAGCGGTGGGTGAGGGCCCTAAATACCAATTAGGGGGGGGGACCTAATGTCCTCCCCCCTGAGCGGTGGGTGGGGGCCCTAAATTAGAATGAGGGGGGGAACCTAATGTTCTCCCCCCTGGCCCCCACCCCTGAGCAGTGGGTGGAGGCCCTAAATACTAATTACGGGGGGACCTAATGTCCTCCCCACTGGCCCCCACCCCTGAGCAGTGGATGGGGGCCCTAAATACTAATTGGGGGGGACCTAATGTCCTCCCCCCTGGCTCCCACCCCTGAGCAGTGGGTGGGGGCCCTAAATTAGAATGAGGGGGAGGACCTAATATCCTCCCCTTTGGTCCCCACCCCTGAGCGGTGGGTGGGGGCCCTAAAATACTAATTAGGGGAGGGACCTAATGTCCTCCCCCCTGGCCCCCACCCCTGAGCGGTGGGTGGGGGTCCTAAATAAAAAAGTAACCCCCACCTCCCCCGGGTTACTAGGGGTCCCCAAACCCCCTAGTCATCCACCTCCCCCAAAAAATTTACTCCTACCTACCCCCCTCACCCTAAAAATAAAACTTACCATTTGATGTTTTCTTTCTTCTAAAATCTTATTTTTTCAGCCCCAAAAAAGGCCAAATAAAAAGCCATAATAACCAACACACTTAAAAAAAAAAAAAAATCCATCTTCACCCAGCGAGGGCTCTGCGCAGACTGAGCTCTGCAGGGCAAGCCTTCCCCCGCCCTGAAATTAGGCTCAGAGCACTCTGATTGGTGGGTTTAAGCCATCCAATCAGAGTGCTTTGACAGGTAAATGTAGAGACTGACAGGTAAGTCTCTACATTTACCTGTCACAGCACTCTGATTGGTTGGTTTGAAATCCCCCAATCAGAGTGCTCTGTGTCATTGTACACAGCGTGGGAAAGTTCTTTGGAATTTTCCCACGCTGTGTAATTTGACTCATAACTCTCTGATTGGTGGATTTCAAACCAACCAATCAGAGTGCTGTGACAGGTAAATGTAGAGATTTACCTGTCAGTCTCTTCATTTACCTGTCAGAGCACTCTGATTGGATGGCTTAAACCAACCAATCAGAGTGCTCTGAGCCTAATTGCAGGGCGGGGCAAGGCTTTATTTTTTGCACTCGTTTATTTATTTATTTTTTTAAGTGCGTCTGTTATTATGGCTTTTTTGGGTCTGAAAAAATAAGATTTTAGAAGAAAGAAAACATCAAATGGTAAGTTTTATTTATTTTTTTCCAGGGACTTAGTTAAATGGTCCCCCCTCATTATTTTTAGGGTGAGGGGGGTAGGTAGGGGTTAATTTTTTTGTGGAGGGGGGTGACTAGGGGCTTGGGGACCCCTAGTCACCCGGGGGAGGGGGGTGTTTAATTTTTTTATTTAGGGCCCCCACCCGCCGCTCAGGGGTGGGGCAAGGGGGGAGAACATTAGGTCCCCCCCTAATTAGTATTTAGGGCCCCCACCCACCGCTCAGGGGTGGGGGCCAGGACATTAGGTCCCACCCTAATTTGTATTTAGGGCCCGCACCCACCGCTCAGGGGTGGGGGCCAGGGGGAGGACAATAGGCCCCCCCCATTATTTTACTTTAGGGCCCCCACCCGCCACTCAGGGTTGGGGGCTGGGGGGGAGGACAATAGGTACCCCCCATTATGAGGGGGATGAAGGCTGTACTGGTGGGTTAGGGATTGTAGTCAGGGTACAGTGGCTGTTGTGGAGATATAGGGGCTGTATTTGTGGGGTAGTGGGTGGTAGAGGACTGTAATGTGGAACAGGGGGCTGTAGTGGTTGGGTTGAGGGTATAGGGGATGAGGGGAAATTATAAAAAAAAGAATTTCTAATACTTTAATAAAAAAACACCTAAATAAAGTAATGTTTTCCTGGGCAGGGAGGTGGAATCATTGGTGGTCCAGCGATCGCTGGTGGTGGGAGGAACAGTTCCTAGTTTCCTGCGTGGTCTATTATATCTGATCTTGCAAGCTCTGATATTTGGAGCATTGCTCTTGTAACTCATGGCAGCACTCTAAATGCATGAGCTGATGGGAGCCATACTTATTCAGGCATGGGTGCCACTGGGGTAGACCAATCTTCAGATGTAAATATGACAGTCGAGCATTTGTAGCAGCCATCATTCTAAATAGAGTACCAGCCTCTCACGGACATTGACCGAGTGCATGTATTGTCAGTCCGTCCCTGGTGTGAAGGACTGCTGCTTACTGAGAATGCTTTGCTATTCTCGAAGTTATCTTTTTTTTTTTTTTGTACATCCAAAATATAATGTTCTTATTCTGAGCTTGCCATTGTTGGCTTCATAGAGATCCTCCCTAACAAAGCTATCATTGTGCCTCTGCAAAGTTTTAACCTTGAACTCCCCGTTTTGGATAAATCAATCATATATTTTGATATTAATATCACTAGAGAGTACCAACTATATTGCCTAAACCACACCCTCCTGCTTTGCTAAATCAAGGAAGACTCTGCTAAGTTAAACTAGTTTGCCCTATTTATTATACTTGTT